GGGAATAGGTTCAGAGGCCGGCCCGCGGCCCCTTGCGCGTCCTCGGGTCGGGGCCTGGCGGCAACGAGACCAGAAAAGGACAGTGATCGGCCCGTAAGCAAAAGATAAGCACGGACTGAACCAGGTACAAGCACCTGCCAGGTACGGACCGACCCAGGTGCGCACGACTCTGCGAAGACAGGAAGAGCCGCGAGCGTGCAGACCTGGGAACTCTAGGACCCCCGCCTGAAGGCTCGGTGAGGTGCTCATGAGGGAACCAGGACGCAGAGGCTGGTCCACACACTGCTGGGGGTGGGGCCCTAGTTATGAAGACAGACATCCAGACTTCTCAGATTGAGACCCAGCAGACGCAGTGTGATCGCAGCAGTCACAGAAGTGGGCCACACCCAGGGCCAGTTGCACTTTTCCTGAAATAAGTGCCTTACCAGGACAGAAAGGCAGGTTCAACCAGCAGGTACACAGTGACCCAGGCGGAAAAGCAGGCAGAGGAGGGACATTTACCCCAATCGCCATGTAAGTGTTCTCACAAGAATACTGTCACCCAAGCTGCAAGACGCGCCTGGCTGCCCCAGGAAGAGCACCCCCTTCTATGAGGACCATGTCAGTTCCCCAGGTCAGCCATGACCCCTGGTTTTAAAGTCTCTACCATGGACTAGTGAGGAAGACAGAGGTCATTATGCCCATTTTACCCTTGAAAAATTCAGAGAAGACTAAACTACCCTGGCTGGAAAGTCTGGGGACCAGGACCAAGAGCTCCCATTCTAGTGTACCAGGTACCAACTTTGCCACTTTGGGGTCCACCAGTGACCTGGGACAAAGGGGAGCCTGGCTTCTTGTGTGTGTATGTGTGTGTGACTCACAGCCACTACCTGCTGGGCTCAGGTCATCTTTCCACCTCAACTTTCAAGTAGATGGAATGACAGGCACACACCACCATGCCCAGCTAATCATTTATTTATTTATTGTAGAGTCAAGGTCTTGCCAAGTTGCCCAAGCTGGGCTTGAACCCCTGGGTTCAGGCAATTCTCTCGCCTCAGCCTCCCAAAATGCTGGGATTACAGGCGTGAGCCACCATGCCTGGTCAGTCACTCCCTTTTAGACAGTTAAAATATGATAGTAAAAATGTGCATCCTGATAATGACAAGAATAAAACACAGGATAATGCCTGCCATCAGTAGAGTGCTTGCTCAGAGGTGGCAGGCACCGGTGCCCTGCAGACACTTCCAGGCCTCTGCTTGGCTTCTTCCTTGCCCTGGAGAGCCCTCCCTTCCTTCCCTCCTGGCCGCTGCCTAGCCATTCCATTTGTCTTTTGGATGATGTCACCTCCTTGGTGAGGCCTGCCGAGACTCCTCAGATGCTGGGCTGCATCCTCCTAGGTGCTCCCACAGCACTTCCTATGTCCCTACGTGCTGGATTGTCACTGACAGTCTGGGACCTCCTCCTGGGCCTGGACTGGGCTGGGACTCCGCCCCTGCTCCCAGGCCCTGCGCTGCCCAGCTGTGTGCCAGTGGAAGCTGGTGGGATCAATGATGAGTCACCTCGGCTCCCTGCCCTCCTCAGTCTCACTCTCTTCCGGTTCATCAAGGCGGTTCCTTCCCAAGAAGTTGACTCTCTTCTGCAGAACCCAGGGCTTCTCTGGGGAACCCCTGCTCCACTTACAGCTGGATTTTGCAAACCGTGGCCCAGTGTGCGGGAGCCCTCTGGTGCCAAGCCCATGACCCTCCTCCCCCTCCCGCCCCCACGCTGCTTGTCTGGGCAGCCGGGCCTACCCATTTCCTTCCCGAAGTCTGCTGGCTGTTCTGCTGTCTGCCTGCACCCAGCCAGCCTGGGGGAGGTCTGCAGAGCTCCTGGACTAGGTACACTCCTTGGGAGCAAGGAGCCGGGGCTGGAGAGGGATAGGCTCCAGGAATGACCTTGGCTTTCAGTTGTTTCATTAGGCAGCTGAGCCTGGGTAGGACCCAGGAGAGGCCACCTTGACATTGGAAAGCTGAGCTGGCTGTCCCAAGCATTAGCAGAGTGGCTGCAGAGGTGACACTTATAGTTAACAAGCTCTCCTGGAAGTAGAGAAAGGATCAGTTCCCTCCCATGTTTTGGGGCTCCTGGTATATTTTTAAAAAGATTTGTCACAGCCAGGCTCGGTGGCTCAGCCTGTAATCCCGCGTCTTTGGGAGGCTAAGGTGAGTGGATTGCCTGAGCCCGTGGGTTCGAGACCCACCTG